CAAATTGTAGCTTTTTACTTGCGGTTTATAAATGTGTGAATTTCTGTCATGATGGTTCTTTTCCATAACACTGAATGTTGTAACAAAGGTAAAAAGAGTTGGTTATTATTATCTCTTTCCGGCTCAGACTGCATTGGTTAAAGCTTATGGGTCTGTCACGTGATGAACGAACGACTCGAACCCGAAGACTCGAAACAGGTGAACTACTTGACTAATTCCAGTACAGAACCTATAGGATGTTGCGCATGCGTGACTGAATGAATCACTCCCCGAGACAACTCGTTCTTCCCGAGTCACATTAAAGATTCGTTCAAAATGAACTCTCCTACCCCGGAGCGCTGCTTCTGTTCAACGTCACCTACTTTATTACCTTCTTCCATGTTATTGTTTAGTCCGCTTTTCTCCCTCGTCGCGTTCGCCCGACAAGAAACACAAAAAGTCATTTGAATTCGGCCTCCCTCAGAAATCCCCCGGAGCGTCGGGACGCACGCCTTCATTTGATATCCACTCAATATCTCTCAGTCTCAGCGTTATTAAAGTTGTTGTGTTGCTGCTGGTCTTTTGTTCTCGTCGGTAATAAAGTTGCGCAGGCGTGCCGGTGGTCACGTAGGTCCACGTCCGCAGGTGTGAACTTTGATTTCTTTGACAGGCAGAGAAGTACTGACCATTACTCACCGGGGCCTTAGCGTATTGATAGCAGCGGCTTATTACAGTGAGACATCAGACACGTCAACCCTTTTTCAGTGACCCAAGCACTCTTTCAAAGTCAGCTCGGTCCTGTCCTTCATAGTTGTACTTGTGTACGACTGGGTTTGCAATACTTGAAAGAGCCAAGAGCCACATTCTCTAAAAAGCTACTTTTGATGACTGTCTTCAGTGGTGAGAGAACCTTTGAAGGTTTTTGAAGTAGGATTTTAAGGAAACATGTACAGTGTAAAGCCTATATATGAAATAATAGTGAGAAATATAGTATTTTTCTGTTTAAGTAATTTATATTTATTTATATAAAAAATAAAATGTAAATGCTAAAAAAAATAAAGCACAATGAACTATTAATGGTATTAATATGAAATAATTTTCTGTATTGATTTTTACATGTATTTTGAATTTTTGCTGCATTGCATTGTTTTAGGGTTAATGGAATTGTCCATGAAATTAATTAATTACATTTTATTTTTATTTATTTACTTATTATTATTATTATTATTTATTATGTTTTTTTTATTACAGTGTATGTATATAAAATATATATTTTGACTAAATATATATTTTATATAAACTGATTAGACTAAACAGATTTTTTGGGGGGGATTACTATATATATTTTAATGAAATTAATTTATATACATTTAAAGTGTAAACTTAAATTATTATTTTTTAAATATAATATATAAATGAAAAGTAAAAATTTAAATAATATTTCACATTTTATGTGTGTGTGTAACTGATTTGTGGGGGATTTTTTTTAATGAATATATATGATATAATATTTAATATATACAACATGTTGAATATGTATAAATAACGAATAAAAAAAAATGCTTTTTTTGTTTTTAATTAAAAAGAGGGATTACTATAAATTTATATAAATTATTACATTATTAAAATAAATTACACATTTATATAAATTATATTGTATGGAACTTTTTATTAACCTTTTTTGGGTTCAATCATGGAAAAAAATATTAAATGCCAACTTGATTTAAACAAGTGTTGTGCTATTTTAGTGTATTTAGTTAAACTGGATTGCAAGTGGTTTGTCAATACGTAATTTTTTATTTTTGCACTGAATTACTGCAAACTATCCTGCTGGGTGTTATAGTTCGCCATACGTCTTGTATTATGACAAATAATAGTAGAGACCAAACATACTTATTATTGTTGCCATTATGATCCATTTTCTTCTATGCCAGAGCTGCGTTTCCACCCTCATCATCAGTGAAGTGTAAATTTAGGCGCGTGGGTTTGTTAAGGTTTCAGACGTCAGAGGCTACGTTTCCTCTGAAGCTAGAGTAAAGAGTGAACAAAACGGAAAAAGATCAAAACCAGGGATTCAAAGGACCGGAAAGTGAGGGAATCACCCGTGATTGGCCGCTCGTGTTTGTGTCCTTGTTATTCTGAATCCAGTCCATTCAGGACTGCTTGGCCACTCATAAAACGGAGATGTGAGAGAATAAACGCACACAGCCTTGTCTATATAAACTGTGGCAGACAGAAAAAGCGTTTTTGCTTGTGCCTCATTAACTCGTACACTCGAGCAGATCTCACACCTGAGCAAAATTAGACTCGGAGGGGCCGAACGAGTCCCAGAACATCATGATTATCCAAACAGGTACTTTCATAACCCAACCAATGCAATTTGCACGTGTCTTAAAATAAATGTTACGTCTACAGGAAGTCACATGCCAACATTCAACCGTTCCCAAAGAATATCACACCAATTACCATGTTCCCTTCGACTTTGGACTGTTAATCATATCCTGAAACGCATCTAATGTTGGGAAGTTCTCCATAAAAACATACAAATGCTCCAAAAAACGGGACTGATTTTGAGTTGTAAACGAACGTTTCGTTCCCTTCGTTCTCTGGTTTGTGCGCTAGTGATTTGGTCAGAGGCTAACGACGCTGACGGCGGAGGAGTGTTCGGGAGACGGGTTTTAAGCGGCTAATTTGTCTGGCAGCATTGCTGTGAACAGACAGTGGAATTGTAAAAATGCCCTCATCTCCTTGGCAATATGCATCATTCAAGTCTGTTGCCGTGGCGACGGGAGTATTGTCTCCCCCCCTCCCCCCAGCCTTTATTGAGTTTACTCCGGAGAGACAGATTAAAATAACACAAAGTTTTGCTGCAACGCAATTTCTTTTCTGCGACACCCTTAAGAAGGATTGTAATCTCCTTTCACAACTGAACACATGCGACCAAACACACTAACAAAGAGGTATTTGACATACACAACTACATAAGGATTTGACTATATATATATATATATAAATATAGTGCGTGTATATATTATAATTAAAAATGTTTAAATGATGAAAAAGTATGTGATACCCACAAATATTAATTTCTTTACAAAACTAAATCGTTTCTTTATTTTTAAAAGGGTTATTTAAGGCATTGGTTTACTTTTTTTTTTTAAAAATATTTAATAATTTAAAAACATTTTTATATTATATGGAATAATATATAATATAAAATAATTGTATTATATTATAGAAAATAATAGAAAAATTTATTTCACTAAACGTATATGTATTTTGGAATGTATAGATCACAATATATAGTTTAACATTTGGAATATATCTGTAAATTGGAATATGTATTTAAATATAAATTCTGAGTGTATAGTTACATATTGTTAATTCTACATACTTGCGTAAATATCAATATGTATAATCCTCAATATTTAAAATATATTAACTTTTTAAAAAAATCTGTATAACTTAATGATATATAAAATGCATTTATATATTTATAAAAATATTTTAGATTGCATGTGTATTTTACTTAAATTATATACATTTAATATATGTTGTAATTTCACTATATGTACCTATAGCTTGATATGTATAAATCAGAATAGTTATAAATTGCAATATGTTACAATAAGTTATAAATTCTAAATATATAGTTATAAATTATTGGTAGTATAAAAATGTATTTAAATATAAATAAATATATATATATATATAGATAGATATATAGATATAAATAAATCTTAATATGCATAATCCTATATTTATAAATTGAGTATATAGTTATATTATTGGTGTTAATTCTATATATTTACGTAAATATTAATATGTACAGTCCTCAATATTTAAAATATATTAACTTTTTAAAACATATGTATAACTTGATTATATATAAATTACATTTATATATTTGTAAAAATAAATATTTTAGATTGCATGTATTTTACTTAAATTATATACGTTTCATATATAGTTGTAATTTCACTATATGTACCTATAGCTTGATGTGTATAAATCAGAATAGTTAAAGGACAACTTTGATAAAAGGCTTTGATCCACTTCAAATGTTGACTACTGTGTGTGTATAATAATATATATATATATATATATATACACACACTCTCTCTCTCTCTCACACGTATGTGTGTGCCTCATA